TTTTCGAAGTTTATCCAAAACGCTTTCAACGTTTTGCGCGCAAGGATCTCGGGCTGGAACGACACGATTTGCATTGGCGCACTATACTATGCTTTCCTAATGGGATGGCTGCTTTCAACTTAATTGAGCCGTCTATATGTTCCTTAACGCGATAGAGAGAGAGAGAGAGAGAGAGAGAGAGAGAGAGAGAGAATGGCCCGTTTTACCAGTGTATGTATCTCCGTATGCTAAAATGTGATACGATATGCAATACCAAATAGCATGCAATTACCTTCTATACCAAATGGGCACACCACATTACCCTCTTCACCAAATGGGCAATTAGGAGTTGGACACAAACGGTCGTAAGCGCGGTGCTCTTGTTGCTCTGAATAGGTTTTTTATTGGCTTTCTCTCGAATAGGACTCTAGGTCTTTTGTTGTCGGAGGTAAGATTCTGATGATTTCGGCTTCCAGGCGCTGACGAAGGCGACCGCGCCGAAACCTAGGCCGTTGTACCATAATAAACTGTGTTACTATCTTGATCAACCGCTCAAACCACACATCCATTGAGTGACTTTGCCAAGGCGCCTATCATGCCAAGGTTCAAGGACAGCCGAACATGGACAATAGTGTTTTTCCTATATATTCTATGTTAATTTGGAAGATTTGTCTTCTGTAAATCAAAAGAATTCGAAAGCCAAAAAAGAAAACTTGTTAAAGGTGCTTTGAGCTGTCTACGTGGTCGTTCCAAAAGATCATTTAAGACTGGCAATTAATCTTCGAAAATGTTGCAAAGTGTACTGGAAACAAATGGTGAAGGATAACTCCTGAAATAATTTCACAACTAACGATCTTACAAAGTCTAGAAAAAATTATTCTTTGGACTGGTGAATCTACCTCCAAACTTGCTGACAATACATATTTCCTCCGAGAGTCATTGAATCAGTCCATAAAGCTAGACCTTTGACAAGAAATCTTTAAATTAGAAACAAGTTTTACTCAAATAAGGAGAATTGGTTGATGCTAGAATTTGCTGTCTTCTGTTGGTCGTGCAAAAGACTACACTACACTGTGACTTAGCTACATAGTACAGGGTGTCCCAAAAAATGTGAACACTGTTTGATTTTTAATAACTTCCTTACTTTCATGTGCTTCGCCGAGCTTGAGGCACCATTCTTTAGAGCGAGGATCAACTTTGATTTGCAGTATAGCGCGAATCGTCGATCAATCTTCATTACTGTAAGATTACGGTAGAAACTTCGACAAGGATTTTAGCTTATCAGAGGCCATATTTTGCCTCCGAACAAAACCAAACAAGCCAAAATCTCTTATACTATGGTAATGGCAGCCGCTGATTTCGATTATGAAGTTTCCACTTTACTGCGATGCTTCTTTCCAAGGTTCCAGGTAAACCGTAATAAGCGAATTTCTAGCATTCGTGAGAAATGTGATTATACCGTCAAAAAAAAAACTAAAAACACTCGAAAAAAGTTGTGCAGTAGAATCAGCGTGCGCAAAAACCCTATCGCACGATTTTTCAGATTTTTTGGAAAAAATTTTGTCGAATGGCATATTTCACAATGGATCACATGTTGAAAGTTCATACCGTAATCCTACAGTAACGAAGAGCGATCGATGACTCTCTCCATGCTTTAAGTCTAAGTTGAACCTAGCTCTACAGAATGGTGCTTCAAGCTCGGCCAAAGACATAAAAGCAACGGAATTATTAACGATCGAACAGTGTTCACATTTTTTGGGACACTCTGTATATGTCACCTGAGCTATGACTAGCAGCCTACAGGGTGGACCGGTTCGAATACACATGTGTGCAAAGTTTGGTGCTGATCGGTCCACACACAAGATTCTATAAAAAACACGCTAACTAACAATTTACCAACATTCAGTTTTATATATGTGTAGATTAGAAGCATGAATGAATGGTAAAAGAACAACAACACTTCAACATCAGTCTCTATGCTGAACTATGTAGTTAAACCCACGGTGCGCGCAAAGCCGGGCATGTGGGTTTACCTTTTGGCTAGCATGGCGAGCGAATCTGATCAATGCTTGAGCTCTTGAATTAGATTATCAACGACTAAAGTGGTAGAAGCATTTGTAACCAAAAGAAACTATGTGGTACTAGCTAACATGCCCGGCTTTGCGCGCACCGTGGGTTTAACTAGTTCAGCATAGAAACTGATGTTGAAGTGTTGTTGTTCTTCATTCATAATCGTTGTTTCATTGTTGTTCTTTTATCATTCATAATCAAACCGCTTCCAATTTTTGTTCTGATACGTTTGAGTTGGGGTACTTTAGGTGTTTTGGTATCTGCAAATTTGAAAAAAAAAGTAGTTTCGAAATATCTGTGTAGGATACTGTAAAGATAAGACAACGCGTTTTTGCATTTCTTCGATTCGTCTTTAATTTTTCTCATTTTCTTCTTGGTAGATAATCAGAAAAAATTGTGTTTTTTGGCACTAGGGTGTTTGAATTGAATGATTACTTTGAGTTTGCTAATGTTTGATGCTTAGGCGCAAGTAATGTAAATAAGAATAATAGCGGCACAAGATCGTTGCGACTATTACTTTTAGAGAGTTGAGGTAGATAATTGAAAAATTGTTTCTTGTTGCTAACTAATTCTATCTTCTTGAATGAGGGTTGAATTGTAGAGTTTTGTTTTCAATCATAAAAATTCTGAGTATATGGGAATTCGAAGTTTTGGAAAGGTATCATAATGAGTCACGTTAAAACGCTGTGATCGTCTTCAATGTCTGTTAATCTCCGTAGTTGACAAAAATACATCCATAATTAATTTCCAACGCAATTTGCCAATTTTTTCCCTATCAAAGTGTCAGACAATAGTTCTGAAAAGTTTATTTTGCAATACCAGTTAGTAACTTCACTGCAGAGAAAAATATATCCTGAGAGGTAAATGAAAAAGTAATTGTTGCGAACAAAATTTGACTTCGGAAATCATTTATCTAATTCAAGGCACGTATTTCGATTTTTCTTTTAGGTAAAACAAAATTGTCTGAGAACTTAGATCGAGGATTGATTTCTAGCATTTTTTGTATGTTCTACTAGGTTGTTGAGTTATGCAGTTGTAGCCAACCAATTATTTGGAAAATGGCTGTCGTTTTTGTAAAGATTCTACGTTTAGCAGCTTGTGTGTGCATTCAGTAGAACACGTTTTTCTCACGTGTGTGGATATACATCAGTACGGTTTGGAAGCGCGCTTTTTGTGACTATTTGGGTTTCTAAAGAGTCATGCTAACTGTTCCTTATGGTTGAAGCTAGCAGAATCATCATGGTCAACTCGCATAAGCAAAGAAGTATTCCCTTTTGGCTAGCATAGCGAGCACGAATCTGATTAATGCTTGAGGTCTTGAATTAGATTATCAGCGACTAAAGTGGTAGAAGCATTTGTAACTTAGAGATGGTTAGGTTGTTTCTACACGTATATAAAACTCAATGTTGGTAAATTGTTAGTTAGTTTGTTTTTTTTGTAGAAATTTTTGTGTGTGGACCGATCAGCGCCAAACTTTGCATAATACATATGTATTCGAACTGGTCCACCCTGTAGGCTGCTTTTCGCAGCTGAATTCCCACTTTTTCTATTGATTGATCGATTTTGAAGAAAATGACCTTTTATCATCCACAATCAAATCGCTTCCAGTTTTCGCGTCAACAATAGCGGTAGAACTCATTCTCATTGCACGATGAAGAAGATGCGGTAATTCAAGGCCATGCGTTCAGGAAGTATCTGCCCTGTGCTACAAGAATATAGCAGAAAGGTCGAAACAAAGATAAGTTGAAACATTTAGAATTGCGCACCAATCTCTTTGTTGAGCTAGTTAAACCCACGGTGCGCGCAAAGCAGGGCATGCTAGCTAGTAACAATTTCTTTTGGTGCTTGGTAGAAAAGCGGATGCCTTTTTGAGATTGAATTTTTACTACTAGCCACCGGTTTGACTTGTAAGAGGCATGCCCCGAAACTGATGGTAGGTAGATGCATCGTTATCTATGATCTAAAAATTTCAAAATAGGAGCACTAAAACACGTGCATCCACTAAGGCTTGTTTTTAGTGTTTTAAATGCATTTTGATGTTTATCCGCAACATTTTTGAAAGGAATATGGTTAAAGAATCGGCAGTTAAGTCAGAAAGTGCGTAAATCTTCGAAGTACGATGTTACTAAGTACGGTTCAAGCGCTTAGTGTCTGTAGGGTGCAAAATCATATAAGCTATACTCCCGACCTTCCTTTTATTGATTAGGGTGTGTACCCTTTTGCTGGATAGTGCACCCAGATGCTGCACTTCGGGTTGAAAAAATGAGCACTTGAAGGGTTAACTTTATCCAAAAGTTTTGTGGATACAAGCAAGGCCAGCGAAAGTTCGTGGATCTTCTTCTTTTTTTACAAAAGCTATGAGAGAAGTTAGCTCGCTAGTGCTAGGTTCGATTGAACGTTCCGCGACATTTAATCAATCCGAAGCTATATCTCATTTATCTTTTCGATGAGACACGGTACTGTCGCTATTTGGAGCTATGTTAGAAACAAATATGATGCGAAGAGTAAAGGACCTTCATAGAAACCGTCGCCATCAGTGTGACAAAAGCAGAATGGTACTCTATTACACGTGGGTAGTTTTTTTAGAATCTAGAAATAAAAATCGCGCTTTACTTACACCCAAATATGGCGTACTCGTATGAGACACCGCTGTGGCCAGATTGGACCAAGGTTCGATCCCCGCCCCTGGGACAAGCAAGCCCACTACCCTCTGAGGCCGGTAAATTGATACCGGGGTAATCTGGGAGGATAAAAGTGCTCACTTGGTAATCTGCTGGCCTCCTCAAGTCACTGTAAGAGGTCACGCATTCAGTGGCCTCTTCGACTATAAAGTAGAATGTGCCGAGTCCTTCAAAATTTATCCTTTTTATGAAGGATAAAAGCATAACGATGCAAAAGCAAAAAATTACGAGGTATCGTAAAATGATATGAGCAGTACGACTACTACTTACTCTTGTATGAGGCTCCTCTTTTATGAAGCTGTTTGTGCATAAGTCGACAATATCGGGCAGATCGGAGCTATTTGCTGGTATGAAATCGAAGGCTGCGGTGGGGTCGGCCTTGTGACTATCTGGTAATCTCTAACCTTGTGGAATAGAAATATAATGCAAAATCTGCACTTACATAATCGAATCTGGTTCAAAAACCGGCGTAACATCTGCTGTAAACTTTAATCTTAAAAGATCACGTTTATTTTTCCCATTACAGAAAAATAAATTTGACGTGCTACAGAAATTATGATTTGAATGAAAAAGTCTCTGACTGACTAGAAACGTTTGATCACTCTTAAAGTTTAAAATGAAATGAACGCTTCGGTTTATATCAAATTGCCTCCAAAAAAAAAACGTTTTCTGATAAATCTATTGCCTTTTTTTCATTGTCGTTCACAAAATCGAAATTTAAGGTAACTGATTCACATCAAGTCTGATTCTATTCTCTGATGGCAACATTCGTTCTGACATCTGAAGCCTTTTTCTCATTTCACTTTTTCCACTTTCATTTGCAAAAGTACTTGTTGAGAGTTATCTATATTATTACAAAAACGTATGCTATTTGAGTATATTCTCGCAAAAGGAGCATCGATTCTACATTTTAACAATACTCGTGACTTTTATGGAAGATACGCAAGCAGATTTGATTATGATTGAAATTACGAATGTTCGTTGGAGAAACCACAGTAGCGAGATACTTGCTGGAGAAATCAAGATAAGCCTGAATTATAAGGAAGCATAGTGCATCGCAGGTGTTTGGAAAAGAAAGAAAATGGAATGTCAACCAAATACTATGAGAGCACAGACATCGAATTAAAATTGTGGAACTGGTTTAACAGAAAAAGATTAGACAGTCTACTATAACCAACCAACGTCGTTCTCGTAGTAAACCATGTAGTAAAATGTAATATCATGGAGTATGGCCCAATAAATCAAAAGGTCATGTTTAGGCACCTGGGTTATCTAAACAACATAATTTGCGACCCCAATTCTTGCTGTCCAACCAAAAGTGCTTTGAAACTGTTTGGCCAACTCGAAGACAAACAATGTTTAGCTACGTTTCTACGAATTTCTTACATATTGCAAATAGATGGGAGAATATCCTGATGTAATTCGTTTGATTCGAAACGACACTGGTACGCTCAGACAGTCGTAATTACAAAACTAATCAATCATAATGGCGCTACAACGCGAAACCTACTTTAGCCAAACTTTGTTTACTTTTCGGCATCTCCCCGTTTAAAGTGAATAAAATTGGAATGTAAAAGGACATTCAGCTTAGCTTACCGCATCAAAGCCTCTGATATATCGCGCTAGCGTAGCTTATCGAGATATATTATAGTATATGATATGAATGAGATAATAAATCAGTATTTTGCCTAGAGAACTATTCCAGTCCCGACTAAGAAATGATTGTGTTTATTCGGAATTTTTTCGATGGGTTGGGTTCCTTCAAATCGCCAGAGGTCAGCCGTCTGTGGCAAAAAACACTCAAGAAGCTATCCTTATGCTTACTAATGGCAAGCAAGCGAAACATCCTTAAGTGAACGAGCGAAAGTGTAGAGATGACAGCAGACCAAGATGGACTTAGCTTACGCTTTTCCCTTTCCGAATATCTAGCGCTTTGCTGTTATCGAAGTATTCGTCACACTCGTAGATCTCTGAATCCGTGGCCACGCCTTACGCGATTCAAGTCGCGATACGATTTGGCAACGTTCCAAAACTCCTATAGAGGCTTTCGAGGCGTTCTGGATTTTCGCAAGAAATCCTAACATGGACAGCCGAAATGTGTGTATGTCAATCACAAATGACTTTATGACACATATGACTTTATGTGAATTGAAGAGATCCACTAATCAGTTCGAATATGGTATACAAAAAATTCCATTAATGCTATCAGATAGAGATGACAGCAGATCAAGTAGTTTTCAAGTTTCAGGGTGGCACTGAGGGACGGCCGCTTTAAACATCTGCGCGACGGCGGTGGAGGAAGTTAGTTCGTTATTCACGTTATGAGATCTTGTTTGTAGCATTCTGGGGCAACATCGAGGCTAGCCGGGGATGGAGGAGGTTTTTGGTGGGGTAGACATAAATCCATAAATCTCTTATCACTTTAGGCCTCTAAATAAGACGAATAGTTCGAAACGTTAGGCGCCATTTACTAATAAATTTGCCAGCCTCAATGGTTTACTAATCTACTCACAACATACTAACAATGCCGACGTTAAAGGCAGCGTACACCCAAAATTTCACCTTCGATGTTTTTGTCATCTGGGGCCTTTCCGTGCCGCTGATTACAGTTATGTCATTGAAATCCTCCAAAAGTCCCAAAAAAACCCGATTTCCGGGGACCCTCTCTTCAGGGGCGGACGAGTTTCGAACTGCTCGTCCCCGTCGGCATGCCAGCAGCTGCAACAGCATGACAGCCTGCAGTTGCAACTCCAACTGCTGCATACGCTGTCATTGTAAGTCGCCCGAAGGAGGCGCACCGCAAAAAGCAACTGCACTGTTGCAACTGCAGTTGTAGATGCACAGCATTGCAACAGCAACTGCAACGGCAACTGAAGCTTACGCTGTCGTGGATTCGTCCGGAGGAGGCGGAGTGAAAGAAAAGGGGCGGGGTGAAAGAAAATTGAGGAAGGTTTTCTCCGCTCAGAAGCAACATTGGGAGACCGGACCAATGTAGTTGGTCTTCCTCCGGGCCCAGTATATCTTGTATATAAAGCTGAATGTCTGTTTGTCTGTCTGTCTGTGTGTACGTATGTTCCGAATAGAAAATTCCATTTCTGAACCGATCCGGACCAAACTTGGCACACATACACTTCGGGCCCCGGCGCGTATCATAGGCTACTTTTCGTCATCGATCGATATCGATTTTATCGATTTTTTGCAAAATTTGAGCTACGGGGCTGGGAGTTGGCACAGTGTAAGATCGACACGTCAGAATATGGAAGGAAGATGGCAGATTGTATGTGCAGACACGGATGCATCGATAACCAAATCTATTGTGATGGCAGATTGTACTTGGCAGACTTGGATGCAGCGATGATAGAATCTACTGTGTTACTCTGCAAATGCAGTCGTCTACTCTGCAAATGTAACATAACATCCGAAGTGCTCGGAAAGTACATCACCGAGCCGGACCGCCAAAATTAGATTTTAATTTCGTGTTTCCGTAGATAATGTGTTATTGTTTTAGTATTGTGTCTGTATTGTTTTGGCTTAGGGCTCCTTATTACTTTTGTCCGTATAAATATCCTGGCCGTCGTGCCATGAGCGGATCGGACGGCGGATCTACGTCTCCTACTTTTTATCTTATTCTTTTCATCAATATCTCTCTCTCGGTAGTCTCTCTCTCTGTGATATTGCCATCCTAATAGTTCTCTAATATCTTTTGAAGTAGTAAAGTTGCATATCGTAATTATTAAGTAGTAAAACTTTTAAGTCATACGGGTTTTGTAAGATCCCCTTGAGTGAAGTCGGAGCCGGACGGTTCAGCCGAGGCCCCTCTAGTATCGGACTCGCGTGCTGCGGGACCGAGAAAAAGGGGCTGACATGGAGGTTCCGGCTCCCCTAGGAGAGGTAGGAGGCCCTATACCCACCCCCTCGTTTTTATTCCCCCCCCCCTCCCTGTCCCCGTAGTGCAAATTTTATTGTATATGTTCTTTTTTTGTAAGATTCCCCCCTTCTCTTTTTTTTGGGGCTGCGTAACAATATAAGAATAGTAGCAAATACTTAGGAGGGGTAATATAAGAAAGAAGGAAATGATAAACCCGGCCGGGGGCGCAGCGACGCAGCCCAAGTGATTTTCATTCCTTTTTTTCTTTTTGTCGATTCGTTGTGCTAACTAGACAAATAAGTAGGTTAGATAAATTAGGTATTATTTTTACTGTTTTTTTTTTTAAATTTCCCTCTGCCCCCCCCCCCTCCCCCCCTGCCTCTCCTAGGGGTGCTACTCAGCATCGCAAAAGAAATGGAAACTTTTGACTACGATGATCCGCCGTTCCCCCCCCCCCCCTTTTTTAAGTCACAAGTTTTTTTTTATACTAACAAATCGTCCAGTGCATTCGTGGGAGAAAATTTTCGTTTAGTTATTTGAGAAAGAAAATGGTAAAAAGCCCAGAACAGAGAGCACAGGAAGAATGGGAAGAGCGAATGGCGGCGGAAGCGGCGGCGATGGCAAACCGGGAAGACACGCCGTCGCACGGTCCAAGGACGTTTCGCACTGGCGGGTTCCAGGTGGACCGCTCAGTCCAGTTCGGATCGGAGGAGGCCCGGCGGCCTCTTCCGCCCCCGGACCCGGAGGCTCCTGGGAGCTCCGGGAACCCGTGGCGGTGGGAGGACCCGCACCGGGACCGAATGAGGAATGGGCATCTTCCTAGACAAGACACCAGACGGACGAATGAAGAAAAAGTTAGTGGACGATCGAGGAAGAAGATGGCGGAGGAAGAAGGAAGCAGAAGGAGATGTATATCTGATGTTCAGTGAAGGGCTCAATAAAGAAGTCTTATGATTGATGTTTTCTTTCTTTTTTTTCTTTTCTCTCGGGCACAAGACGGTACGGTCCTTTCTTTTTTTTTGATCTCATTCTATAAAGATTAATGCCCATCGACCGTCAGGTGCTAGAAAGAATGTTTTGAATAAAGATTCTTTCCCCTTTGAGTTTGTTGTCTTTGCATAAAGATTTATGCTTGTGTTCAGTTTTATGCGAGTAAAGATCTCTTGAATGCACTGGAAGATAGGTAGTTAAGTTATTGTTATATAATTTTCGAATTTTGTGTGATGGTACCAAACTCAGCGCGGTCCCCTCATCTTTTTTCTTCTTTCTAAACTGTTTAAAAAAGACCACGCTGAGGGTGGAATTGGTGCAAGAAAGAAAATCCTCCTTCTTTTCTCCAGCTGGCACCTATAACACGATCCAAATCGAAAGCAAAGAAGAGCGAGTCTCCATATTCCTCTCCATTCAGCACCCCAGAAAGAATCCGGAAGAGAAAACTACAAGAACAGCTACGAGAACTCGAAGAGCAGTTGAAACAAGAATATATCAGCCTAAGTCCCTTCAAATTTGAAGTAGAAATGGCTCAAAACGGTCAAGGCGGATCTGGAGCTCAGCAGGAAAACCAAGATCAGCGCCAAAATCAATAAGACCAGCGCCAAAACCAACAAG